CCCCCACCTCCCCCCTCCCCCCTCTCAGCTTCCTCGTTTCCATACTCACTCCCCAGATGTAACCACTGTTAAGTTTCTTGACAAATTTTCCAGAAACGTTTTGTTATTTACATATAAGCATGCAATCAAGTTTTTACAAAAATCAGGTTCTCTAACTGGTTCTCTTCTGTAAATATGAATTATACTTGGTGACTTAAGTTCCACTGATTTAACAAGATCTAAAAACCCAGTGGGGAAAAAAATAAACGCACACCAATAGCAATTTATTAAATGCTTATTGACCATCATCACTATAAGCAGCATCCACCCAAAATGTCTGAGCTGCTGAATTAGAGATGAGCAGTCTACCTCTAAGATGCTTCTGTGGACATCGTCAATAACAAAGGTGCCTTTGTGTTACACTATGGTTGATATAAGACCTTTCATTCTTAGCCACAGTTTAGGCAAAAGATAAGAGCTGCTATGTGACTTAAAATATCATAAGGGTTTTAATAATTTCGGAACCATCTACTTTTACTGTATATTTGATTTTTACTATAAGAATAGCCACCTGTGAAGCCTAATGAGGTCTATAAAATTGTCTGCCGGTACATCACTGATGGGAAAAGTACTCGTACTGGGTGGCTGTTGACTCGAAAATCGAAGGATATGAGCTCCACTATTAGACAAGATGTGACAGAGTAACTACTCAAGATTTCTGCAGGTATGAAACTATTACATTTGCCCAAATAACCAAATTGCTTCAACACAAAATGTAAACTAAAAACTGCATTTTTCAGTATACTTACCTTTTTAAGATGACCTAATCTGAGTTTGAAGATTTCTTCTTGTTCATGGTATTCTGCTAATGTTAACCTGGGAAATAATGGTAGAAATTTCAATAAATTATTTGAAATTACTGTTTAAAGAGAAATGCCAAAGCATGCTATATGGTATATTCAGTCTCTTAGTTAAAATGACTAATACAGATTACCTTGCAGTCCTCTGACACAAAATAATTTCTGTGATTTATCAGATGTGATATGAAAGGACTTCAAAGCCAGAAGTCTAATTTGTAAAAAATAAAAAATAAATGAGCTATATTTTTAATTTATGAAGTTAGTTTTGTCCCAAACATTACTCAAATGAAAATCCATTAGGAGAGGTGGCCAAAAATTATGTCTAAATATTTTTTAAAGGGCAAAGCAATAAGACAATGGATTTGATTATTTTTTATAACATTTAGACCCTGGAACTATAATAACAAAAGAGAAGAATGACATAGTGGAAAGAGTCCAGGATCTGGAGTCTGAAGACTAGGGTTCAGAGTGTTACTTGGGCCATGTGACACTGGCCAACCAACTTTAACCTCTTAAGTCTCGGTTTCCTAAAAATCCAGCAAGTAACAATACCTATCTAACAACGCTGTCGTGACTATTAACTGTGAATGTGAAAAAGACTCTATAATTTGTAAAATGCTATTTAAACACAATTCTCAAAGGACTGTTTTGATGGGTAATCACTTATTTCATGTTCCACCAACCCCAATCACATGCTCATATCTCAAGAATGAGCATGTAAGATACTCTTCCATCTTCATCCTCTTCACGTTCTAGAAGCATACACGTACACTTTAAAGTTTTAGATGTCCCTGTTTAGATATATTCTAAATAGCAGGAGAAAAAAGAAACAGCTATCCTATCAACCAGAAAGGGCTACAAAATAGAGCCTTTGAGGTCTGACTAAAAGATAGTAAAAGGAGTAACAAGAAAAAATACATCCACCAGGGGTGTTCCAACTATCTCTTCATAATTGCAGAAATACTTGTATCCATTACTTCATTATCACACAGTGAAAACGGGAGAAATGAAAAATCACAGCTAAGAATTCTCTTCTCCTAATAGGCTCAATACCAGGAAAGGATAATGTGACTCACTCCAAGACTCCAAAAGACTGTTTCTGGCTTCTGGCCAAAGGAATGAGCCAAGTCACTGATGCTCTAATTAAAAACTGGACCGAATGCCTTCCAGCTTGGATTTTACACGGCACTCCAGATGGCAACTACTTACTGACACACTACTGGCCTAGACTAAATTCTAATTATTGTTCTATGGCAAGGAAACAACCTACACTTTCTTTATTACTCCTAAGCCAATGGTTTTATGCACTAGCTTTAAATAATTTTCAAGTCATACTAGAATTACAGTCTCTTCACAGAATAAATACAGGTGTCACGAAAGAAGGCAAGATCAGATTAATGTATACAACATTTGCCTGGAGAACCTTTCAAATCTGGGCTCCTACTTGGATTTTTTGAAGGGAAATATTTTTTTATTTAGAATCTAGTTTTAAAATATTCAAGAGTGAAGATGTTTCCCAAGCTTATTCATTGTGCATAGTTTTATCACCATACTTAATGTGATTACTAGTTTATTCATTTGTTCATTTCCCCTAAGTAAGCTGTGAGCTCCTAAGGCTGGGGTTGTATCCGTTAGCTCTGTACCCCCAGTGTCTAGACCAGAGCTGAGTATATAATAAGCATTTGACATAGACTTACTAAATGAATGTCAAGGGAGAGGCTCCCCAACACACCAACTATGTATGGGGTGAGGATTGGTGTTAAGCCATGTCTCATTTCTGGATATGTAATGGACTTTTTAACAATGTGTGTATACAAGTATTATTTTACTTGAGGTGGATTATAGGTTAATATGTTTTTGTGAACTGATATGAAGACATAAAAGGCAAAAGATGCACTAGTCAATAAATTATACAATATTATTAAGTTTTATTTGTGGCTATCTTTAGACCTGAAACTTATTTTCAATTAAAGCATCCCATAATGACAGCTTTATAAAATTTCTTTTTCCCTTGAAAAACCAATGTAGCCACTACAGATATACTGATTACAATACCAATGACTGTTTCTATTAAAAAAAAGTTTTTAGTTTCAAATATCCAATTCAGAAACCAACTCCACAGCTACCATCAATTCTTTAGACATTGCCTACACGATTATCTATAGAGCTTCCCCTCTCCCCCTCATTTTAATTTGAAAGCCTCTTAAAGACAGGTGATGGCTTAAATGTCTCCAGGGTATGCATAAGACATATTTTAAATAGGTACATAATATATAGGTTTTATTTCCCATGAGAATTCTGTTTGGCAGTTTCTGTCTAGTTGGCAAACTATAGCCAGTGGACCATTCAGCTCAGTCTGTTTTTTAAATAAAGTTTTATTGGAACACAGCCACACCCACTCATTATGTATTGTCTATGGCTGCTTTCAGGCTATAATAGTGGAGCTGAGTAGTTGCAACAGACACCCGCTAGCCTGCAAAACCTAAAATATTTACTGTCTAGTCCATTACAGAAAAAGCTTGCCAACTTCTGTCCCAGAGGAAGATTCTCTTAGTGGTCAAGAATTCGATGATCAAAAAGGGAACTCTGACATGGGGTGGGGGAGGAAAAGGAAGGCATCTGTGCGCAGGATATTCTACCCCAGCTGTTCATGGCAGCTATGTAATGATTGCTGATGGGCGGTGATAAAGATGGCTACACTGAAATTTAAGATACTGGTGTTTTCCTTAGGTCCCTCAGAACAGGAGAAAAATACTGGTGATATCAAGGCTGGGCTTATTGGGGAAATGTCCTTTTCCTAAAATAATACCTATTTTTTCTTAGCTTACTCCTAAGTTTGTGTCTATTAACTAATAGCTCTTTAAACCAGTAAAGAGCATGCTTCAGTTGTGCATTCCTCAGTCTGAGATAGCAGCCAGGTAATCCCCATAAAATGATACCATAACCTCCATAACCTAGAACCACACATAAGCAGTTATATCATTTGAATACCATGACATCTCATTTGTTATAGAGTAGCCAAAGATCATGACATTACTTCTCCCTCTCACTTGAAACTCCCTAAATAAGATCAGGACTAAGAAAACGAGTTAACTATATAAGGCTTGTATACGAGTTGAGCAAATCCATTAATGCAACTAAGAAGAAAGGTTAGTTATTCTCTAGAAATCTCCATAATTTATCATTTTCCCCCAGTGGCATTCATTAGGACATTTGTGTTTTGGGGGAGAGTGTACTTATTTCACAGTTCACTCAACAGACAACGTACGTTTCATTTTCAGCTCCATTGGTCTTGCTTTTCCGCTGTTTCTGCTCGTTGGTTGCTGGAGGGGCCTGTCCCATGGCAGGAGGTTTCCGCTTTGCTAACATTTTCCGTTGTCTTTCTATCTCTTCCCTCTGTGAATTTATCCTTTCCTGTTGCCTAGAGATGTAAAAGATGTTGCACAGAGGAAGAAGGTCAAAACATTTATAACATGGCTATAGAATAAACACAAATATCTTTGTCACCTGCATATTTGATAGACTTCAGAAAAAATAAGTTCCTTTAAATCAAGTAGAAATTTGATTTTAATTTCAGGTTGGAAGAGACAAATAATTGGTGTAAGAAAGATTCCTGGGAATGAGTCCATGCCTTAAGACACTAGAGTAGAAAAGTGGGCAGGAAGGAACAATATCAAATTTCTACTGTGACCTTATTTTCTGGTTAAAAAGGAAGAATTTTCTCATTCCTTTTCAGCAGTTAAGAAAACAACTCTCTGGTATGAATCTATTCAAGTAAAGTACTGTATATATGTACAGGAAAAAGTGCCAAAGGATCCAAGTGCCTTTTTATTTATTTATCTTTGGATTAAAGTTGCCTTGAATTACATTTTAAAAGATACAAATTTGGAGGATGCGAAACAAAGTAAAAAAAGATTTTCATTTATTCTAGTCTAAGTGAGCCATTACCACCCCAAGTCATTCTCACTCAGTGATATGCTAAAACCTAAACTAAGTTTTTAAAAAACAAGCACATTAAGAGAAAGCACAGGGGTCGGCTGAGTGGCGC